AGCAGATTTACGATTTGCATCTTCTCATAACTATACGTTCTCTGATTATCAGCACTACTCAACCCCTAGATGTGCCGTATAATATTGTCACCTTCATCATCCGATTGGGAAAACCCGAGGCCAAAGATCCGCTCTGCGTCTACGATAAATCTTCCCCTGGTTGGAGTCATGTTGTCCCTGCCAGCAATATTGGACATACTAGGTTTGTCAGTCCGATAACGAGCCATAGGCTCCTCTCGCTTGGTCGACGATGGTTCAGCATCTCAATTATATGTCCGTGGTGATCTTTGCCACTAAATATAGGAGTGGTATTACCCTATACCATTCTCCAAGAATCGATATTGTTGTTTAAGTTTTCGAGAATGTGATGAGTCGGCTGAGTTCACAAGATCCGCCTTCCTACCTTATTGCAGAAGGGAGACGATCATACCCACTGCTAACATCAAGAGCAGTGATGCTCAAAACAGCGCCCGCGGGCGGAACTCTTTAAAGCTCTATTTAGAATTTATATGGTCGTGCATATAGTAAAAACTATCTCTGAGCATCACTGATCAAGAGGATAATAGCCTGACCTTTTACAGCTACGAAGAGGCATTTGACTTCCGGCAAATCTACTTTTTTCAGCATCTACAACGAGATTCTGGCGGACCTAACGCAGCAACCCTCGATTTGTGCTCAATACTTCACCTAGATCTGTTGCGAAAAGGACACTCCTTCCTGACACCGGCGCTGCTAGTTATAAGTCTTCATAAATCGATTTGAAAATTCTGGGACACCCCTTGTTGCTGAGGAGCGATCATGTATGTATGTACAGTGACTGAAACATATGATCACATGATGATTTTTCTTCAATATTCGTAACGGGTTTCAAGCAAAATTTTTTTGTTATTTTTCTACAAAAGTATTGCTGGATTTTCACTAGGCATTAAATGGCAAAAATGACAAATGACAAAGTCGGTCATTAAAAAATAATCGTGTCATTACATTAAAAAAATAATCATTAAGATCATTTCCACATGGCATTTTTTTAAATGGCAGACATTTGTTGTCATTTCAATGCCTAGTGGAAATTCGGCATATCGTGCAAGCTTTATTCAAAACCATATAAATCATAGCGGCATAGTTTAAGGCGCAAATTTTTGACAAATAGTCAAACTTCATTATTTGTAGAATCATACCCAAGTGTTCCACAGATTCAGTTTCAAAGTTGAGATTTTGAAACTGTGATTTATGTATATGTTTTTGGTTAAAGCTTAGAGAGAGAAAAACATTATGAATATTTAAAAAAAAAATCAACACGTGGTCACTTGTTTGGGCCACTGTATATACGGTGGCGAGAAAATAAATAGTAACGCGATATTAATTTTTGTTTTTTTACAGTTGGCCATTTTTCTTTTGTTTATTTAATGTTCCTTATTTAAAAAAAAAAATACCATAGCTCACTATCAATCGAGCAGCCTTCACCAAAGTTTTTGGAAGTTTTTGTGAAAAAAGCAAACACATCTCATCCAACCATTTTTTTTTATGTATATTTCAATTAATTTATTTTATATCTTAATTATATTATAATTACTTATGAACTTACACAAATTAGGATTGCAACTTAACTAATACTTAGTGAAAAAAATTACAAAACTAAGTACAAAATTAGTATTATAACATACATACAAATACAATTACGCTCATTTGTGTTCATTTTTTTTTTCTTATTTACTGTTATTTTGCTTTGCTGGTCACTCTCTACATAATATATGTATGTATGTATACATACATATAATAAACATTGAAAATATTAGAGCTAAAAACTAAAATTCACAAATTTGTTTTTTCTTTTACCATTTTCATATGTATTCATTTGCAATTTGCGCGCACTGTACACTACAAATATGTATGTATATGAAGTAAGTATGTTTGTAGCAGCACAGTCTTGATGATGCATTCGTGTGCTATGAAACAAAAACGTTGAGCTACAAGTAAGAATTAATGAGTATGTATTGATCTCATTTCATTTATGTAGATACGTTATTTACCTTTATCTTTCATCTTTTTATTTTAATTTCACTTAAATTACTGTCATTAGTTTAGTTTTCAAATAAAAGCATTAAAATGTATACATAGTACATATAAAATGATAAAATATTTAGATACAAAAAAAATAATAAAAAATCTAAAGAAATTCATTAAAATACTGTAGTTGTGTGTGTGTGTGTACGTGTCATAATTGAAATTTGTGTTTATGCATTGAAAAGGAGGCGCGCTTAGGCGACTCGCTTGATTTTTGCGCTATTTTTCCAAGCAAATTGAGTTGCTTTCAGTTTTGAGTTATCTTTTGGTAGGACTCTGGTTGCTGGGTAAGGTGTTCCGAGATTAGGGAGTAGCAAGCAAGTGGTGTTGGAATCTGTGGCGATAGTGGGCGAGACGTAGCGCAGAAGTGTGTCTACGCCTTTGTACGCTCTTGCGTTTTCTTGTTTTCTTAGCATGTTCTACGATTTTTAATTAATTTTTACATATATTTTGTTTGGGTTTTTTGCCTTTGTTTGCCCCACCAGTGCCAGTTTCCTTGTCCGTGTCAGAGTTACACTAAAATATATACCTTGTTATCGTAAAATAATTAAATTTAATATTAACTTTAAAAAATACTCATCAAATGTAGTGTTTTGTGTTTTTATAATTGGTTAAATAATCTTTAATCTATTTGTTCACTTTTTTGCCATTTCATATTATTCAGTGCAGTTGCGCAGTTGGAAAATACTTTTAGTTTTTAATTAAATTAAATTTCGTTTCTACAATTTTTCACTTTATTAATGTTAAATATTTACTTATTATTATTAATATAAGGTGTTTTTTTTGAATTTTTTTGCTTTTCATCATATTCGCTTAAAGTTATTCGCTACTAATGTCAACTAAAACGATTTGCTTTTAATACGTATGTATATAAGTATATATATATATATATGTATATTAGATATTTATGTATGTATGTATGTATGGTTTTCACGCAACTATAATTTATCATTTCGTTGGGTGTATATTGTATACATGCAATTTATATGTACTTATATGTATGTATGTATGTATGCATGAATGTGTATATGAGTGCATTTCTTTAAGTTCAATACAAGCTTAATTTTTCATAATTATTAAAATTGATTTTTTTCTATATACAATATTTTTGTTTGCCCACAAATCGATCTGCTCTCTCGAGCGGCGCGTTTGTGAGCAGCATTTGTGTGTTTGTGATAGCATGGGTGTGTTGGTGATATCTTGTGTGTGTAAGCCAGCCTATTAAATTATTGGCATTTAGAAGTACAAACTATTCTAAACTATTGAAAAGTATGCAATACATTTGGAGCATTTATGCTGGTAGTTGATTTTCAAAACCTAAACAGCTGTTGTTTGTGCCAAAGCTTGTGTGCGCGATTATGTGTGAGCGTATGCACCGAGTCTTCTATTACGTTTCGGCGTATTTTCAACAAATAATTGAGTGGTAAGAAAACTATAAGTATACATTTTACAAACTACATACAGTGTGGATCCCAAATTTGAGTATGTTATTTAGAAAAAATGAGGAGAAAAGCGACTAATGGAATTAATACGAGAAGACAAAGGTTTGAACCCTCTGCTACAAAAAAAAAAAAAAATAAATAACATCGGCAAATATGTTCTATAGCAAAGTTGAAAATCCGACTATTCAAAGCGCAGTTGTCTCAATATAATAAATAACTT